AAAACCCTGCAGACAAGAAGAAATAACAAAAATCAGGGCAGAAATCAATGAAATTGAATCAAAGAAAACAATACAAAGAATCAATAGTTCCAAGAGCTGGTTCTTTGAAAAGATAAACAAGATTGACAGACCGCTAGCCCAATTAACCAAAAGAAGGAAAGAGCACCTCCAAATTACAAAATCAGAGATGAAAGGGGAAACATCACAACAGACACCAGAAAGATACAGAACATTATAAGGGAATACTTTAAAAACCTATATGCTACCAAATTCGAAAACCTAAAAGAAATGGATCCATTCCAATATTCTTTGTCTTTTGACTGGAGATTTGAGGCCATAGATATTTAGTTATTATTGAAAGGTGGATATTTGTTACTGTCATTTTAATTTGTTTGTGTTCTTGGTCCTATTTTGTGTTTATGTTATCAAACCTTCCTTTGTTTTCTTTCTGTAACTTCTTGGGTATGATCATTTCTGTCTTTGGTTCTTTGTATTGCTTTGAGTATCCTCTGTATGGCTGGTTTGGTAGACCTGAATTCTCTCATGGAAAATTTTGACTTTTCCCTTCAAACTATGGTAGGTAAGTTTGCTGGGTAAAATATTTGGTATCGGCATCCATGGTCACTTAGAACTGGAAATACTTTGGTCCAGGATCTTCTGGATTTCATATATTTCATTGAAAAGTCAGCTGTAATTCTGATGGGTTTTCCTTTTTATATATATAACTTGCTACTTTTTTTTTTTAGCAGTTTTCAGTACCTGCTCTTTGTTCTGTACATTTAATATTTTTACTATGATATGCCATGGGAAGTTTCTGTTCTGGTCCTGTGTAATTGATGTGCTTCTTGAATATAGGTTCATTCATTTCTATGTGTGCAGCTTTCTCCTCTTGTTTCAAATTGGCTTATTGGGTTTTTAAATTCCATCTTCATTTCAACTTTGTTTCTTTTTGTAAATTCTCTTTTCAAGTCATGGATTGTTTTTGTTATTTCATTCAGCCACCTATTTGTATTTTCTTGGGCATCTGTCACAAGTTTATGCCTATCCTCTTTGAGATCTTTGAGTGGTTTGTCTGGTTTTCTTTAAGTTCTTTGATCATATTTATGATTGTTCTTTTAAATAGTGCTTTGTGGAGTTCCTCATGGTAATTCTCATTGTAGTACACTTCTGTAGGACTGGTGGGCTTTGTTGGGGACATACTCTCTTGTTTTTTCCTAGTTTTTTTGTGTTTTATATTGTCATTTGGGTGTATGGATTTTTGTTGTTTGTGTGTCCAATAGGAAGTTCTATTTTGCCTTTGTGTAGTTGAATTTTGCTTCTTCTTATATTCTTAATGTAGTTTGGTTGTTTTTTGTTCAGGTATGTAAAGTTAGTAGGTGTGTGCTTCAGGCTTATTCAGGGTAGTAGGCTGGTCTGGGTAGTTCATGGGTCTGTGAGAGGCAGATCAGGAGGGGGGCAAAGGGCAAGACAGGGAAGGTGACAGACTGTGGAGGGTCTAACAAAGTAAACTGGAGAACTGACCTATTCTGGGTGCAAGGGATCAGGATGCAGTGGGCAGGTCTGGACTAAGGGAGTAGTCCAAGGCCAGAATGGGGATGGGGTAACAGGGAGATTGGAGGTACTCAGGCTGTAGGGGGATCAAGAGGCAGTGGGCAGGATCTGACATACCAGGGTCATATGCAAGCTGGTCTGTAACAGGCAGATCAGGATACCAGGGTAAGGTGGGGAAGTGACAGCCTGTGGAGGGTCTAACGAACTATGGTAGAGGATTAAGCTAGTCTGCGTTAGGAAGCTAGTCCAGAGATCTGATGCAGAAGAGCAGGAGTAGGGGACTGTGCCCAAGGCTAGCAGGGGGACAGGGTGGGGTTGGGGAGATTTGAGGGGTTCAGGATGCAGGGAAATCAAGAAGCAGTGTGGGGGGGATCTACTATTAATCCTTAATACCAAAAACAAAGGTTCTTGTGTAACCAAGAGCACTCATAGTCTAAGAATCAAATTTAAGTTTTTCAACAAAGGCCAGATCAGGTTCACTCAAAATACTTAAATGCTGTTTTCACTACAACTAATGAAGTAAGTGTATGTGCTCTTTTCGGAATATTGTAGCATGTATAGGTAATATTTAATAAATATGCAGATGATGAAAGAAGAAGGATGCATTTTCTGGGTTCAGATAACCTCAAACTGCCATTTCAGAGAGCAGAATTGTCAGCATTCCAGATACTGTGCAGGAAAGGACCCAGGCTTCTTTTTCTTCCACATCTGATACATATTTATTCTGTTTTTAAAAATTATTTTATTTTTTTTAATTTGTTATTTTATAAAATTAGTTATAAAAATTATAACTATATTAAAATTAGTTCAATATTATATAACTATATTAATTCAACTGTGAACCTAAAAATTTACAGCCACTTTTGAAAGAGATGTATCCTTGCTTTGGAAATTGTTACTGAATACGTTAAAGTTGTAATGAAATACTTCTTCTAATCATGTGGTTTTTAAATTTTTTAAAAAAGTGTTGTATTTCATACAGAATATCTCAAACAATCTGAATCATCTTTATAGCCCCATCTCCACTAGCAGCCTCCCATAGGCCCCCACTGAAACCCATATACTCTGTCCTGGATGTTAAGGTCCACTGTGTCAAGTCAGTGTCCCCAGACATTCGCCAGTGCAAGTCCATCCACTTGCAGCCTAGTCAGATCCCTCTCATCTATGTATCCAAACACCTATCATTTTCTTTTTCTTTTTTAACAGAGTGTAAGTGGGGGTTTATTTACAGAGGAGTGGGCATCTCCCACTTACAGTTGCACTGGAAAGTCCACACTCAAATACGGATCCTGTGACTCCCCAACAGCCACAGAAAATGGTGAGAGAGGGGCCTCCTGGCATTCCTGGATTATATATCCTTAGACCCTCCCCACATGCAGGTAAGATTGACTGATTGGGTGGGAAGGGTAACTGACTCCCCCCTGCACTCCTTGATGAGTGTGGGAAGGAGGTGTGACTACAGCTTGGTGGCATAATGGTTGGAGTCCACTTCTACCCTTAACACTTAACACTCCACCCCTTCCTCTGGCTCTTACATTCTTTCCTCCAACCTCTTCTATACATGTCCCTGAGCCTTGGAGGGGGTGGTAGGTGTGGGATGGTCCTCCTATTGTGGCAAGGCACTGAACTTTCAGGTCTCTGTATCATCAGTTTTCCAGGGGCTGTTGATCCATTTCAGTGCGATTCCATCAACACGATGTGGAGGCCGGATCCAGGCACTCTCAGGCAGTCTGATGAATTCTCAGCCCCTATGCCAGAGGGACACCTTAAACTAGAAGTCTGGAAATTTTTCCATTCTTCTATATCTGTACCATTAGTGTGTTCCCATAGCCAGGCCAGTCCTTCTATACTCCTACAAGCCTCTAACCTTTAGGAGGTGGGGAATACAGCATTGTTAGAAGGTATGGGCTTTCATGTCATCACCACTCTTTAAATTCTAACACACACACACACACACACACACACACACACACACAGACACTTCTAAAAGAAATTAAATATATAAAATGGATTTGTAATATTTTTAAAGTGGAATTTAATCAAAGAAAGCATTCCACATTAACCTTCGGCTTCCATGCATGCAAGCACGGGTGAGCATACCTTAACACATGTGCACAAACACAGAGACACACATGAACAAATATACTCATGTTCTGTACTGATACAATTCTTTTTCAAATATTTTCCACCTATCATTAGTTGAGTCTGTGAACGTGAACCCACAGATATAAAGGGCCAACTATATGTGCCATGTTAGGTGCTGTGTGTCCTCATTTCTAAGATATAGAATAATATCTACATTTCAGGGCTGTTGAAAAGATTAGAAACAGCATACACACAAGATTTCTTTTTTAAAATAAATAATTTATTGAGAATTTCATACATGCATAAAAGGTGTTTTGATCAAATCCATACCCACTCCCTCCCCTCCAACTCCTCCCATATCTCCCCATCACTCTTTTTCTGATAACTTCATGTACTCTTTCTTCATTTTTTTATGGAGCTTTTGGCTACTCTACCATTTCTCACTTTGAAGAAGTAACCCTAAAATCCTAATATTTTAAGGATAACAGCTCCCAAGCATTTTCCACATTTTGGGCCTTTGGAATGGAGTAGGTTGCTAAGGGGCCCAAGGACATTGTGAGTTTTAGCTAAGAAACTGGCTACTTTTCCTTGGGGTCTTTTTACCCTAACTGATTAGCCAATTCCTACCTCCTATTCTTATCACACCATCCTCTGAAAAGTTTACCCAAATTGCCAATAGGGGATCAGGACACCGATCCAGGTGTATCTCTGTGAGATGGAGGCAAGCTTGGTCTACATAGAGAATTCAAGGAGAGCTCGGTCTACAAAGAGACCCTGCCTGAAAAAGAAACTCCAAATGAAACAAAACTAAAAACAAAACAGCAGTGATATACCTACTCAAACAGCAGCCTACTTAAAGTGGTCATCAAGCTTCTGGCTGAGGCAATGTAGCTCTGTCAGTAGAGTGCTGGGCTGGCATTCTGGAGGCCCCATGGTGGGGGCACACAGGCCTGTAACCTTGGTACTCCAGTGGTGGAAGCAGGGGGATCAGGAATTCAAGGTCCTCTTTGAATTGAGCCAGTTCTTGGCCATCCTGGGATCCCTGAGACTGGATCTAAAAACAAAAGTACATCTAATGGCGATATATAAAGGTTTGATTCTCAAATGGTACAGGATTTATGTATTCTATCAAACACATGAGATCTAGTGTCTTTTATAAGGCAATACATGTGCACAGTATGCCTGGGAAAGACCCAGGTTCTGGTTTCTGCTGTCTTTTCTTCTTCCTCCTTTGCATTCAGAGTCCCTTCCTCAGACCCTAAGTCCCTTTTTAAGCTCTCCTCAGAGCCAATGAATTCTGTGCCATTGTGCCATTCCATCTGTCATCTTTATAAACTTAACATTTGCTCAGACACCTCTGTTTCTTTAGTTTTGCATTTTATTCCATATGTTTCTTTTTAATTAATTTACATCCATTTCCTGGGGAGAAGAAAATGTTTAAAAATAAAAGTGCAGCAAATAAGAGACAAGCTACATATCTAGCAACTGCGATCCAAAATTTGGACTCACTCAGAAATGCCTTATCAAAGCAGGTAAAGGCAGTGCAACTGATGGCCATCCCCATGCAGTGTGAAGGCTAAGGACACCTGAGGAGAGAAAGAGTAAAGGGAAAATGAATGGAGACAATGCCGATTGTGAGTTCAGATGTTTAGCTCAGGATGTGATTTTAAAGGAAAATATCACAGCCAAGTTTTCAAAATTTGAGTTTAGGGGTTGAAACAAATGATTCACAGGTATACAGTGCTCCTGTGCTCTGAGAGAAGGTGGTGTCATAAATGTGCAGAGCTTAAAAATTACATCTTCATCCTTCACTTTTCTCCCTTCTTATAATTATTATATATTATAAATACTGCATATTTAATTTGAAGTTCTATCCTTCCACATTTATGTGGGTTCTTGGAATTGAATTCAGGTCATTAAGTAAAATGGGCAAGTGGCCTCAAACTCTCAGCAGTCCTCCTACCTTGTGCTCCAGAGTGCTGGGATTCTAGGCATGAGCCACCATGCCTGCGACTGAGAGTACACCAGAAATGAAAATTCTCTGGCCCAAGTGAGATGTATGAACCAGAATCTCTGAATTCTGTGTTTTAGCAAGACCTCCAGGCAATTCTGGACTGTATTAAGGATAAAATGTTCTCAGATCAGGCAGCTAGCAGGGGACAAGGTACACAGGGGTGTTATGAGCCATGGACTTTGACATTTACTCTGAGTGACTGGAAGGCTATGAAAGTTTTAAGGACAGGTTGTGACATGATTCTGACTTGTGGTTTTTTGTTTGTTCTGCTTTTGTTGTTTTGTGGTGCTGGGGATGGCTTGTGTATTATAAAGGTCATTCTGGCTCCTAGATAGGAAATAGAAACAAGAACAGGAGCAGGGAGACCACCTAGAGGGCTGCCTAACAATCCCAGTGTGGACCAGAGTGGAATTTTATGTATAAATAAACCAAGACACCAACTGGGGATGTGTCTCAGTTCCTAGAGTGCTTGCTTATCATGCAAGAAATCTGGATACCTAGCAATATATAAAACCAGGTGCGGTGGCACATGCCTATAATGGCATCGCTCAGGAAATAGAAGGAGGAGGATCAGGGGTTCAAGGTCATCCTAGGATACAAAGTGAGTTCAAAGCCATCCTGGGCTACAGGAGATCCTGTCTCAAATCTCTCTCCTCACCCAAAAAATTTTGAAAAGTAAGAAGTTGAGGAAAGAGATTGATTATCTCAGTGGTTTCTAAACTTTCCCTTCACAGACAAAAGTTATACAATTTCCATGATCTTAAATTTAAAGTCTAGTACATAAAGCATTAGTGAAAACAGGCTCATATATGTGCAGAGGGCACCCAGAGCTTTGCTTTCCCGACTCTCTTCAAGCCACATCATTGAGGAAAATCTACAAGCCAAACAAATGTCTGTTAAGACTCCCCGTTTACTTTTCTGAGTAAACTTTAAAGCTTACAGTTCTTGTTGATTCCAGGCTAGAAATTATCCTTCATGGCAGAGTTGGGCAAGGGTGAAAAGTCCCATCGAAAGGTTGAAAATGAGATTGACGGTATAAAGTGATCACAAAGGTCACTCACCTATCAGGTTGATGATCAGCAGTCTGCTGATTCTAAAAGCAAGAATCGTTCCTTAAAAATTCAGAGAAATAGGCCTGGATCTGGTCTCTACCTGGTCTCTGGGCTGAGAACTCAGCAAACTGCCTCAGGGTACCTGGATCTGGCTTCTGAGTGGAGGTGAGGTCCCCCAAAATGTGCCATGCCCAACCCCCTAATTGGGATTATATGAGAACCCCTCATACTTCACCAGGGGTAGACCTCTCTGCCCTACATTAGGAGCTGAGACCTTAGCAGACTGCCTGAGAGTGCCAAAATCAGGACTCCCCTTAGCAAACTTTCTAAATTGTGCTGTGAATACCCGCTAGTAGGGTTCAAATGTGAGAGGGAAGCCTGCGTACACCCGACTGGAGCCTGATGTGGGCCTCTGTGGGAACTCCTGAGTAGCTGATCTGAAGCCATCAGTTCCCTCTAGAATAAAGTCAGAGAACCTGAAACCTAAACCAAACAGCTTTACATACCCAATAAGAAAACAATAAAGGCACACCAATAATACAAACAGAAGCAAACTTTAACTCAAAAAAAGAAGGCTTGAGTTTCATACCACAAACAACAAAAGAAATCCACATGTCAAAATCACAACGAAAAAACAGTAATATGAAAAACCAAAAGAGCATGTTCCCAACAAACACTATCAATCCTGTAGAAGAGTTCTACGAGGAGAACCCCCTGGAGATAACACAGGACAGAACTTACAAGAACAATCATAAATATGAGCAAGGAATTAAATGAATTTAAAGAACACACAAACAAATCAAATAACTAAAAGAAGATAGGGGTAAACTTATGACTAAATTCACAAAAGAGATGGAAACATTGAAGGCTGAAATGAAAAAGAAAGTGAAAAACTCAATAAGCCAATTTGAAATAACGGGAAAGCCTCACCTCTAGAATGAATGAAATGGAAAACAGAGTGTCAACACTGGAGGATAAAGTTGAAGAATTAGACTGCTCAAGCAAAGATTATGAAAAATTAAAACAAACAAACAAACAAACAAACAGGAATGGAATATGCAGGACATGTGGGACACCATGAAAAGGCCAAATCTATGTATCATAGGCATAAAGGAAGGAGAAGAATCTCAGGTTAACAGAATTGATCAAATCCTAAACAGGATTGTAGAATAGAATATTCCAAAATTAAGGAAAAACATCCCCATAAAAAACAAGAAGCACATACAACACCAAATAGACAGGACTTGATAAGAAACTCCCCATGGCATATCATAGTAAAAACACTAAATGTATGGGACAAAGAGAGAACACTGAAAGCTGCAAAAGAAAAACAAGTCACACATAAAGAAAAATCCAACAGAATTACAACTGATTTATCAATGCAAACTATGAAAGCCAGAAGGACTTAGGCCAAGGTATTTCCAGTTATCAGTAACTGTAGATGCCAACCCAGAATACTTTACCCATGAAAAATGTTTATTATAATTGAAGGGGAAAGAAAAACTTCCATGACACAAATAGACTGAAAGAGTACATGTCCACAAAATCAGTCTTTCAAAGAATACTTAAAGCACTACAAAGAGCAGAGGAAGGAACAACTATACTTCAGGGACAACAGAAAGAAACTAAATGAAGGAATTATTGTCCCAGCCCGCGGGATCTGCAACGAGGTACCTGGATTGGGGGGTGGGGCCGTGGAGGAGGCAAGTGACAAGAGAAATGGAGACAAGACAGTGCTCTGATCAAGTCTCGTTTATTAAAGCACAAGCATGAGTTTAAATAGAGAATGAGAACAAAGAAGTGAAGAGTGAGTAATCAAATCAATCAGAACACAGGGGCCTGATGTACTCTAAGGGAGGAATCTACTGATTACTGGAGAACAGGGCTGTTTACTGGAAAAGAGAACAAGGTCGCGGGCCAAGGTTGTGGGCCCCAGCTGTGAGCCAAGGTTGTGGGCCAAGGCCGTGGGCTCTGTCCTGTGCCTGCGGGAGGATGGTGGGCAGAATGGAAAGCCACCAACTCAAGTCTATCAGCAGTTTTGAGAAATGGCTGAGCCTCAGGCTCCCAACAGGTCCCCCTTTCTATTTATATTTTTAAAAGATGAAGTACATGCCAAGACTGGGATGGAAAGACCGTGCCTGTCTTAAGTTGTCCTCTGCCAGAGTGAAAGCCGTTGGGGGCAGCCGGCATCTGCTTCCCTCTGAGAGGATCTTACCCGTCACTGGCTAACCGGCCTCCTGAAAGCTCCCGTCAATTGGCCATGGCCTTGGGGAAGAAACGGGAAATACCACTGTGGCACAGTGTCACTGAGAGAGAAATATAACTGCGGACCAGAGTCTGGAACTGAATCGTGGTCAAACTGTATGTAATATGAATTTTGAATTTAGTGATATTGGTGGTTACCTTTACCCCAATCTGTACTCTGTGCTGAGGTTAGGCAGAGCCTAAGTCCCCCCTCCAAGCAAACAAAAGGACCCTAAGGGGACAAACAGTGTACAGCATGGAAGGGCATTGCACAAATGATTAGAACAACGGTGTTCAAAGCATGTGGAACAATTAATGAATCATGGAGAGAATCACAGCATCACAGGCAAAGTCAAGAGGGGAGAACGGTGGGTGCCAGGTGGTGGAAACAGTCCATAGGAAATGCAAACAGAGTCCAAAAAACCAGTCCAAAAAAATTGGGAACACAGGATGCGATGATGGATGGTGTAGCAATGACACAGGTGGCATAGAGTCCGGAGATGTCGCAAAGCGAATGAGGCGTTTAGGTACCCAACGTGCACTGTCAACATTTTGTGGAAAAAATACAAACATGTCCTCTCCCCCAAATGAGGGCAAGGGAGGATGTCACACCAGTGGTAGTTGCAGTAGCAGCCAAGGCAAGAAGACCTAAAATAGCAGCAATTATCAGACGAATCATGTGTTTACCACTCGGCAGCAATTTTTTTGAAAAATTTTAGAATCAATCCTTAAGCAGGACTGCTTTTTCTGGACTGATGCATTGTCATAGGAATCCATGAAGAATTTTGTTGTGTCAAGATCATAATAGAGTCAGGCGCAGGATCAAAGGCTATAGAGTTGTTAAGACTAGTATATAAACGACAATTTTGGCAAGTCAAGTTTATGTCCTGAATGACCACATGTCTAATTAAGATTACTAGAGGAAAGTGTACACAAGCTGTAATAGTGTGACTTTTGACTGTAGCAAAGGGGAATGTTGGAAGCCGTACAAACAGTTTTATTAAAGAAAGGCACTGGTGTTCTAGCAGAATGATATTTTTTGAATTACATTTAAAGACAAAGTTCTTAGACTCTATGCAGTCTGGTAGCCAATTTCCCAAAGGGCTCCAATCAATTTAGGGACTAGCATGTTTTTATAATTCTGTCATAACAAAGATTGCCTTACAGAAACCAGAGCAGAAGACCACATTGTCACATTTTGGGAGAGATGGAACAGTTGGAGTCCTTATGTAGGCCAAGTGGAATCTATTGACCGAGCAGAGAAATGTAACACATCTGGAGGGCTACAATTGTATCTACCTGTCGGAACAACTTAATGTTTAGAGGATAGCAAGGAGGAACTCCAAAGCACAGAATTTTAGTAGTGATGAAGTAAGCACAATTTAAATCCCGTCATTCATTGTCAGGAAAAGTGGACTGACCAATATCATAAGAAGGGAACAAAATATTTGTAGGAACAATAGGGACTACAGCAGTGGGCTCTGTATACATATAAGGACATAAGAGGGAAGGAGTAGGTACATGACACATATATAGAGGTAAGATGCATATAACAGGTGGGTGTGTAAGTTATGGTCATAGATGACAGCAAGATCAGTGGATCTGGAAACAGAAAAATAAGGCCTATAAACAGGTCAAGCATAAAAAGAACTCTATATAACACAAGAGATATAGCCAAGGCAACAGAAAAAAGATGAAACCAAGGAAAATGTAACTCAATAATGTGGCAACACCATAGGCAGGGAAAGCGTTATCATTAACAGAGAAGTTTTTGTAAACACAAGAGTGCCCTTAGCAACACACTTTAGGTAACCAAGGTAACATGATTGTATATACTGAAATGAGCGAGAATTACACCCAGGACCATCATCCGTTGATAGGCTTTCAGGAGTTTTTAGTGCTGAAAAGCAACGAGTGTAGTGAGTGAGGAATCATGTAGGACTTACACCAGTAAGAGCAGAGGCAAAGAGAAAACCAGAAAAGATATGTATAGTAACAGGAATACAGCATAACTGTCTACATTTAGGAACATCCATCTGCCATACTTGATTAGGAATAAGCCCATGAAGCTGAAACGGAATATCTCCAATACCCAGATCATTACTAGGCTCTAGGATTGACATGAGGCCTGACACATTCTCTCCCGCAGCAGTTGTCTGCCGCACAACCTTTTGTAATGGAGACATGGAAGATGCAGTACAAGTTAGTAACGGATTACATACA